TTCACAACTCTATCCACAGTCCGAGATACCATTGCTTAACTAACACCAAGATCCTGACCAATACCTTGTTGATATCCAGGGTCACCGAGATAGCGACCGACATATCTTCAATTTACGAGTATATATACATGAAAGTGCTCCTTCTCGAGTTTCCTAATTCTCAACTAAGAATCTGTCCTCAAGCTATTGTACATTTGCTTCGTCGAACCGATATAATTTTTTGAACTCACGCTTTAACATCCCTAACATCCACAATTTGCGCCATCATCGTTTGACCACCTTTCTTTACAAAGTTCAGTCTGCTACTGACCACACTCAGAATTTTTGAAGGATATGCTTCCTATGCCAAGTATAAGGTGAAGATTATGAATATCCTTTTACTTATGACACTGATTTGAAGAATATGCCTAAAAAGAAAAAGCATTTACCTTAAATTATTATAAATACCATCTGGAGGATTTCCTTCAATATTTGCAAGTACAAGGATATCCTTTGTTTTATGAATACGGCTCATGCTCTCGGGTGCACCTACCACCCGGACATTCAGAGAGTGGAGTGAATTTACTTCCGAAATTTTCAGTACTCGAGGATCCATCATCATCAATTTCTTCATTAAGGAAGATAACTGCGAAATTCAGGTGTGGTAACATGCTGAGATTTATAAGACACCCTGAAAAAGCTAGCGGGTGGTACCGCCTTGGGCGACTGATTCTTGTCAACCACCTTTTTTGCATCTCAACGATGTGAAATAGACCTAAAGTAGCCCGTTGGCGGGCTTGCATACTTTATCTGAAGTCACTTGAAATAGCATAAAAACCTTTGGTCGGCGCGTCCTTTGTAATTTCATGACGTATCATAGGCGTGCGGTCATTTATTTAGAACGATAATAATAATGTTTTTATATCACAATAAATGGATTTTACTATCTTCTTATTTTTTTGATTTGGGATAAAAAATACTTATATTGGGAGTTTAATTTATGTTGACTGAAAGTTAAGAAATGGAAAAATTACAGAATTCCAACGTTTGACATAGGCAAATATTTACATAGCAGGTAGGTATATAAAAAGGTCTATAAAGACTTACATTATAGGTATTTATATATCATCCTCGCCTTCGGAGCTGTCGCTAGAGTCATCTTGTAGAGGAATTACAACGGGATTTACAGGAGGCAAAACACAATATTCATTTTCTTTTGCAATAATATGCCTAGAACACTGCTTCCATAGGTCTGTGGCAGCAATATGAGATACTGCATCTCTTATTGTGGCCAATAGCGATTCACTTAATTGAGGGGTCTGATTATGTTTTCTGACTTTTTTTTTAAAGCAGCCCAGACCAACTCAATCGGGTTAAAATGCAGTAATAGGGAGGTAGACGTAATACTTCATGGACATTTTGCTGAAGCAGATTGTCAACAACATACTCTTTTTCAAATTTTTGTCTTTTAATAAGATCCAATAATATGGCTTTGGTTGATTTTTGTGGTATTTCCATTCCCTTATCCTTCATAAAATCAATAATGTCTTGTTTTTTTGTGCCTGTATTCGGAATTTTGTTTTTCTGTCGGGAATGGTATGGCGCATTGTCCATAATAATCACTGAACTTGGGGAAATGTTTGGTATTAACTGCTGCTCTATCCACTTTTCAAATAAGTCGGAGGTCATGTCCTCATGATAGTCGGCACATGATTCTTTGATATTTTTGGCAGATAACAGCAAGGCATTAGGTATAAATCCATTTTCACTGCCAGCATGGAGAATAATGATTCGTTTTCCACGGTTGCATGGTGCATTTAAAATGCACTTGTTGCTGTCGTCAACCCAGCCGTACTGCACAACATCATAGGTATCATACCACGTTTCATCCAGGTAAATCAGATTTCTTTTCTGCTCTCTATCGATTTTAACTTTGTGCAAAAATTCTTGGCGCAATTCAACGATTCGAGACGACTCCATAATCACCATTCTTTTATCTAATTTTTTGTATTGAAAACCACACAGTTTTACAATACAGTGCAGTGTGTCTAAGCATTTGTAATTATAAAAGTCTTCAGGATAATCTTTTAATTTATCCCGTATCATTTCCAACGTGGGCACCAAATTTTCTTTATAAAATCCGTATATTATACGACGAATATCTTCCTGAAAACCCACGTCTATTCTTTTTAATTTTTGCCCTATGCGCTTTCTGTGGAAGGAATGGTTGACTACATCTCCCCTTTTTATAACCCGATAAATGGTAGACCGACTGATTTTTATCAGGATACAAATTCTGTTTAAAATTTGATTTTGCGAGGAATCTGGATTTTCGTTTTTCAGACAATCATACATATTTAGGATTACTCTTTGGGTCTGTTCCTCTAAATCTTTATGAAAGAATTCTGCCTGCACAGGTTCATCAACCATCTCCTCGTGGCTTGGAGCATTTTCCCAAGGTCTCCAAAGAGCCATATTTAGGACACACACGAACAATCAACACAACAATTAAATCAACAAGTAAACTGAGTATTCAAAAGTCAAAAATACACAAACTAATAAAATCTATGAAAAAACACGGACAGACTAAAGAAAACACGTTTATTCACCGCTACACGGCACTGGCTAAACTGTTTCAATTTTCAGTAGCCACCTGCACTTGTTCGGAGCTCTGAAATACACGCTTTCTCATTGGCTATGGCCACGCATAGGCGTGCTTTACTCCACGTGGACCGGTGAAACTGCCTTTGATACGGGGGATATTTGCTTTGAAATTTGGCGATTTTTGCAGCAACAGAGCGTGTTAAATATAGATATATAAAACGCACCCGGTATTTCACAGTGTTTCAAGTGACTTCAGATAAAGTATACCTCCCCCCGACATTCTGAACTGGGGTATTCTTTAACGTGTGTACGATCACTTGAACGGGAAGAAGTTGTATACTGAATACAACAACTACCGAAACAAGCGTTTGCCACGGCCCCGCTCTGTGCAATCCTCATTAGGCAAGGCGCGCACTGAGATGGTGAGCAAGTGACGTGGTAGTGGCGCGGTGATCAAGTGGCAGGTGGAATCGCTAAAGCCTATATAAACAAATGAAGACGCGCGTATCAAAATGGAGTAGCGGTGGCGTGGCATTTTGTAGGTGGCGTGATGTCAGTCTGGTGCCACTAATCTCGAGCAAGTTTAATTTTCGACTGGCAAGCGGTTGGTGACGACGACGCGACGTGGGTTTTTGTTTACTTTTTCCTGGAGTGAATCATGCGAGACGACCACGAATTGAACATTAATTTTGTAGCCCTTGTAGAGGCATATCTCTGTCTGTATGACAATACACGGGAGGATTATCATATGATCCATGTGCAAGAACGGGCTTTTTTTGCCACAGCGGATGAACCCAATGCCGTTTTTTCTTCGTCTCCTGACTTATAGCATTTAGATTAACAAGTTGCATAAATAAAAGGGCATCTTCATCTTCTGAGGACGACATGGTAAACCGGTGACGTCAACTGACTTGTTTGCCACTTCAGTGCGCTTTATATCACTTTCATACCACTTCGCCGCTATTCCGATCGCCACGCCAAATTTTACCATCCCTATGCCTCTCACCACTCCAATACCTCACCACTACCACACTACCTCAGTGCGCGCCTTGCCTTAGAATAGATGAAATAAGAACAACTGCTTTAACAAGCGCGTTACGAGTCTCTGTAGCTAGGTAGTTCAAACGTGGCGTAGGATGAAGACGTGGGTCTCTAGCTTATGATAAATATACGAGCCCCTTGCCACTTCAGTTGGCCCACTTCAAGATTTGTACCAAAATATATCTACAACAATTTATTTTCTCAAAAACGTTTTAGATACACTCTAGTCGTAAAAAATACATATTTGAAATCATTTAGACCTATAACTAATAGAACATCAGAACAAATAAACAATGTGCGAATAAATGCGCGAAATTAACAAAGCAACAATTGAAAGATTACCATTGGGTAACATCACCTTTATCTTTTATTACGGCTGAAATTCTTTGGGGCATAGTGTTAGCTAAGTTTTGGCAAAAATTTGGTGTAAAACAGTCCCATATTTCTTGAAGCTTTTGTCTCAGTTCGGTGATTGTACGAGCAGGATGGTGTCGTAGAAACTTTTTCATCTCGTGATCACAAAGTTTCAATAGGTGACATATCTGGACTGCTAGAAACCCATTCCAAAAGTGGTACACTATTTTCTTCCATCCGTTTTATAGCCTTTTTGGAAGTATGGCACGCTGCACCATCTTGCTGAAACACAAAATCTTGGCCGGATGTCAAGCATTCTTCCATCGCTGGTAAAAGCGATTCTTCTAAAATTGCCAAATAATCCACATTTCCGTCAATAAAATGAAGTTCTCCTACTCCTTTTGATGACATACTGCCCCAGACCATAATGGATGCTGGAAATTTCACTTTTCTCTTCAGACAGTTAACATGGAATGCTTCTTTGGCACATAAAGAAGTTGAGCAACTTTAGGGTTTTTCCTTCACTTTTTTTTTATAAGAAAACTTACCTTGCAAGTGCTAAATCCCAGTTTGTGGGCCTCTCTATGAGTTGTGGACCTCGAAATTCTCCTTCCAACAGCGTCACTCCTCACTTAATTGTAAATAATTGGCACGCCTGTTTTTCACGATTATTCTTCTTAATGCTCTTCGGTCAGCATTTGTGATATTACTTCTTTTCACGTATCGTGGCTTAATATTAACTGAACCAGTTACGTTATATCTTCTAACAATATTTCTCACACTGTACCGCGATAAGTCTAACAAAACTTTTTTAAACGTATTCTGACAGCTGTGATTAATAAAAACAATTGTCATGGCTTTTATTTTTCACAGCCACCTATGCGTTATAGACTTATTTTGCATTGAAATGAAAATAGATTGATATGCTGTAATTGCAACATGTGTTATTTTTATGCTGCAAATTTGATTAGGGAGTGATAAAGTTGGTGTTTTCTATATTATAAAAATATTCATTGTTAATATTTTAAACCTATAACACCCTTCTAAATTTTTTTTATTTGTGTTTGATAAGAAATAACTAAGATTTCAATAGTTGGGCCAACTGAAGTGGGAAGAAGCTCGTACATAAATAACCTTAATTTATATTACAAGTATAAATAAATGTTATGGGCTTGGTTTATATATAAGAATACGTGTTATTATCTAGACCAGTTTTTCTCAAACTTGGTGACACCATCCTCCTACGGATCGAGTATTAGGGAGCGTAGTGTAAATTGGTGAGAGTGGAGGTGGTCGATGAGTCGATTTGGGGGGGCAGGGAGGTGATGCAATGGCTGATTTGTGTTTTTAAAAATACTCAAAACAAAAATTAAATCTACGTACCTATACTAGTACGTTGAGGGGCGCTAGGTGAAAGAAGTTTGAGAAAGAATGATCTAGATCCTAAAGTATTTCAAATAAGAGATGTTGGGTTTCAGAGTATCAGCTACAGACGCAGCTTGTATGAATGCGACTGGTGTAGTGGAAGTAAAAGATTCAAAATGTGTATCCTGATAATACTATGCAGAATGGAGAAACCGCTGTATTTGACTGCCGGAAAATTTTTTCCACTCACTCTCGGCACCGTTATATCGGTAAGTCTGAGGAGACATTGCAGTTGTTGCTTAGAATATACTAAAGTATGTGGTAACTGTGGCCTATCTATAAAACTGTCATTAGGATCAGCGGTCGGCAATCTGCGGCTCTTTTGATGTCAAGTTGCGGCTGTCCAGTTCATCGTAAATCAACACAAATATAAATGAGATCAACATTGAGCCATTTGGAATTAATGCTGGTTCGCTTCAAATGCAATTGCAACTTTTGACTCTTCCGTCTCGAAAGGTTGCCGACCCCTGATTAGGATGATAAAATCGTTCGCCAGCTTTTACTTTACGGCGTTTGTCAGTTTCCGATTTTCCTCGCCGAATATTATATCTGTTTCATAGGGTGTCCCAGCCTATGAGGCCAAACAAGTTTTTGTTCGATTTGAGATACGAGGGTGGTCCCAGAAGTACCCGGCCTGACCTAGAGATGGCGATAGTTGTTCGAAAAACATCATTGTATTAGAAAGTATGCAACCTATAAAGCATATGTGTCAAGTTTGTTGTTGTTTAGTATTTGTTTGGCAGCCATCAATACTGAACGTCTTCAGTGGATTTGTGAAAATGGAGAAAATTGGTCAACCAATATAAAAGCTGAACTGGATTCTACTCTGGGTGAGTCTGCTCCTTCGTTTACAATAGTAAAATATTGGGTAACAGAGTTTAAACGAGGTCGTATGAGCTGCCAAGACGAGCATCGCAGTGGTCTACCCAATGAGGTGACGACTCCAGAAAGGGTGAAGAAAACTCACAAAGCGGTACCGAATGGTCGTCGACTGAAAGTGCGCGAGCTAGCAGACACAGTAGGCATTCCAAAAAGTGCGGTTCATCGCATATTATCTGAAAATTTGGACACTAGAAAGCTGTGTGCAAGACGGGTGCCGCGATTGCTCACAATCGAGCAAATATAGTGTCGTGAAGATGTTTCAATTGAGTGTCTAGCCAAGTTTCACAGCAACAAAGCAGAATTTTTGCGTCGTTGCATAACCATGGATGAAACGTGGGTCCATCACTTCACACCCGAGACACAAGAACAATCAAAACAATGGACTCGAGAGGGACAACTGGCTCTAAAGAAGGCGAAGACCGTTTCACCTGCAGGCAAGGTTATGGCGTCGGTTTTTTGGGGTGCGCGTGGGATAGTTTTCATTGACTATCTTGAAAAAGATAAAACTATCAACGGCGAGTATTATAAGAACTTATTGCAACATTTGAGCGATAAAATCGAGCAAAAACGGCCGCATTTGGTTAAGAGGAAAGTGTTGTTTTACCAAGACAATGCACCAGCTCACAAATCCGTTATTGCAATGGCCAAAATTAACGAATTAAAGTTTGATTTGCTACCTAATGCACCCTATTCACCAGATTTAGCCCCCTCGGATTATTTTCTGTTTTTAAACCAGTGGTCAAACATTTTCCAACGATGAAGAAGCGATGTCGGCAGTTAATGACTATTTTGAGGAGCAAGGCAGTTCTTATTATGAACAGGGTATCGAACTTATTAAACATCGCTGGGAAAAGTGTATAGAGGTCAAAGGAGATTATGTTGAAAAATAAATACATTTTTTACAAAATTCTTCCTTGGGTAGGGTACTTCTGAGACCACCCTCGTACGCATATCCTGTAATTTTTTTTCATTTGACTCAAACAACTCAAAAAAAAAATATTATTGCGATCGGGATAAACTTTGAATTTGAAAGATAATATGAAAACCATGTATGGATTTCAAAACCTAATTCTTATTCGACAAATAAAACGTTGCTTTATTTGCGTCTTATGTTTATTAGATACTTATCATTAAAGCAACACTATACTAAGTGACATATAAATCCGAACACCCAGTTTAAATGGTTTTATTTTAATAAAAGTTGGTGAATGTATTTATCTTACTGTAAATAACAAGTCAAAAAATTTTCAGCCTTATCAGTTGGACATTCCGGTTTTTATACTGCTTTTTTTTAATTCACTAACGCTCTAAAAATGAATATTTCAGCCGCAGTAAAGAATCAACGTTGGCGGATGTTGGTTCTTGACATCCTTTACGATCGGTTACGATGCCTAGAGTACGGAGACCCGTACGATTTCGTCAACTTAGTGAGTATGATAGGGGCCGTATAGTGGGACTTCGGGAAGCTGGACTTTCTTTTCAGGCAATTGCAGTTAGAGTGTAAAGAAGTGTAGACACTGTGGTTAGGTGTTGTCAGGCATGGCTTCAAGAAGGCCGTACGCAAAGAGCAAGGGGCACTGGACGCCGTCGTAGAACAACAGACCGTGAAGATATCCGCCTAAGATTATTGGCCTTAAGGGACCGTTTCTCCACTACCAGGTCCATTGCAAATGAATGGTTTGCAGAACACGGAAGACCAATTGGCATGCGAAGTGTTTACCGACGAATGAAAAGTTTTGGCTTGTTTTCATACCGGCCACACTGGGTCCTCCCTTTAACTCGAGAACACCGACGTAATCGCCTTGAGTGGTGCAGACAACGGTCACTCTGGGATCAGGAATGGAACAGTATTGTCTTTAGTGACGAGTCTCGATTTTGTTTAGGCATGCACGATGGTCGTGCCAGGGTTAGAAGGCGACGTGGTGAAAGGAGGAATCCACAGTTTTTTGTTGAAAGACATGTTCATCACACTGTTGGAGTTATGGTTTGGGGTGCTATAGCTTATGGTTCCAGGTCACCTTTATTCTTCATCAGAGGTAACATGAACGCGCAGCGTTATATCCACGAAGTTCTAGAACCCCATCTTTTACCCTATCTTGACACCCTGGCAGATCCAACTTTCCAGCAAGATAATGCCCGACCACATGTTGCAAGAGTCACAATAGACTTCTTTCAACATAATGATGTCACATTGTTACCATGGCCACCAAGATCTCCCGACTTACCCCCAATTGAGCACGTGTGGGATATGATGGGTAGGAGATTGCTCAATTTGCAACGTCCTCCTCAGACTCTAGAAGCACTTCGAGAGGAGTTGGTGGTTGTCTGGAATGAGATACCACAGGAGGACATTGACCACCTGATCAGAAGCATGCCTAGGCGCGTTGGAGAATGCGTAGCACATCAGGGTGCATCCACACATTATTAAAGGTCAAAGGGCTTTAAAGCAGTGCAATCATTTTGAAATTTTTATCATTTACTTATTATGCTTCATTAAGTACTTATACAAAATTTTATTAAAATAAAACCATTTAAACTGGGTGTTCGGATTTATATGTCACTTAGTGATCTTGGCCTGAAGAAATATAGCAGTTTAGATTATTTCAAGACTATGTTAATATGAAATTTTTTTCGCAGGTCCTGAAAGGTTCTTTTTCATATGCAGCAATGTATAAAACTGTTGGATAGAGATGTCGACATTAGTATTATTACATATGTGCATAAGGCTTCGTGATCTAGAAGATTCTATGATTGATGAACAGGTGTATCTGGTTGCATCACACAGTTGAATATATCATGTATTATGTTAATAAAAATCCAATTATCGATCCATTATATTCGTAGATTTTGAGCTATACTCCTAACATGAGTTATGCTCGGGTTTATCAAAGAAAACTCCGCTTGAGAAGAGTCTATAATCCAATCTTCTTCCTCTCACGCCAATTGACGAGGAAGTATTGTAATCAAGAAAAGGTCAAGAGAAAAACAAAAATTTTGGAAAAGTGGCGATTTATTTCTCAACATAGTATCGGTACACTTGACCCAGCGGTGCTCCAACTTTTTTAACCCGTCTGAAAAATACGTTCTCTGGAGGTTTGCAAAGTAGGCCTCTGGGGCGACGATAACTTCCTCATTCGACTCAAATTTCTGACCGGCGAGTGACCTTTTCAAGTTTGGTAATAAAGAGAAATCGCGCGGGGTTAAATCTGGAGAACACGGTGGCTGAGGTGGAGGTATGAACCGGTGCGTTGTCATGGTGGAAGCGCACTTTTTTTCTTCGCCAAATGGGGCCGTTTTCACCGCAACTCGACGTCGAATCGGCCCAATAATTCGGTATAGCAGGGACCAGTGACCGATTTGCCTTTCTCCAGGTACTCGATGTAGATCACATCTTGTGAATCCCAGAAAACGGTGGCCGTCTCTCATCCGGTCGATAGGACAGCCTTCGCCTGGTTCGGAGCACGTTCCACTGGTGAAGATCACTGTTTCGATTGTTCCTGGGTCTCTGGCATGTACCATTGGATCCGTGTCTTGTCGACGGTTACGAAAAAATGCAGAAACTTCTTCGGACTGCGCTTAAACAGCTGTGAAGTGGTCTCACGGCGCGCTTATTGTCCAGAGTGAGCAAACGCGGCACCTATCGCGCAGACAGCTCTCTCTTGCCCAACATTCCATGCAGGATATGACCCACGTGGTCTTTTGAGAGGCTTAGGGCCAATTTCACCAACATTAATATTATGGACCAATGGGAAAATACCTTATCGAAATGCAATTTGACGGAAGCTGTCAATGGTCTCTGAATATTAGTGATTTCTATTGAAATATTGAATAAAATCGTGAAAATTCGACGGTATTATAAACAAGACCACTTTTTGATTCCAACATGATGCTTTTGTACAGAAAAAGTAGGACAACTTTCATGTATTTTGATATATGTTATAGGTTTACATTTAACAAGCCGTTATCCCCCTCAGCGAATGGGAATAGGTTGATGTTCCAACAGGATGGTGCCCCACGACATTACGCATTACGTGTTCGACAATATTTAGATCAGACGTCGCCAGATCGATGGATTGGTAGAAGGGGTGCCTTTGGATGGCCCCCAAGATCACCAGATTTATCACCTTTCTTTATGTGGGGTCATTTAAAAAGCAAAATCTATGCTACTCAGCCAACAACATTAGAAGACCTGCGACAAAGAATTGTGAATGAGTGCCTTCAAATTACTCCTCAAATATTGCAAAATGCGCGGCAACGTTTTGAGCAAAATCTTTATTATTGCATGGAGAGTCATGGTGGCCATTTTCAACATTTTCTTGCCTAACGGGTCAGTTCATTCTACATTTTCAAATTACTTTGCTGCCAAATGTATTGATCTCCACTAATGATTATGTATTAGTTTTATTGAAGCTTTAAATCAATAAATCTTCAAAACTACTGAACTGAAGTACATTAATCTTATATCATTATAAACGGAATTGAAAGACCTTTAAAATAAGGTATCACACGACCCCCCCTTCCATTTAACATTTTGGGGGCGGTGTCACCCCCGCTTAGGGGGCTGCACGTGCTAACGTGATTTTTTGATAAACTTGTGCCCCCTCAAAAACAAAATTCACGTGTTTATTAACTAGATATTAATATTGTTATAAAACCGAAGAAGGATTTCCCCACGGCTTGTTACGTATAATGATAAAAATACCATGACTAAGCGCAAGCAACTACCGATCGACATGAAGGCAACCGACCGCGTCCTTGCTTTTCTCGGGCAGTGGCGTAGCAAGACAGGGGGGGCGGCGGTGGCGGTCCACACCAAGTGTGATCCTTTTTGGGGTTACACCCACCCGGGGACTCAACTTTAAGAACAAACATAAAAAAAATGCACAGATTGCATTGCAAAGTAAAGGCTTGACTGTTGACGAACCTGCTACAAAACTGGAGGCACCTCGTCTGTATATCGAAGCAAAAAGGGGTCACATTGTGGAAGAGGCAATATATATTGCTAGAAATCAGAAAGACAGCTTCGTCGTAAAAAAACGGGTGGTTGGGGAGATGGCCAGTGATGCAGAACTTCAAAAAGATATGTTGGAATGTCTTAATCGATTCAAACTTGAACTCCAGACAAGATCTAAGTCTCTTCAAGACCTAGCTTCATTGTTCGAGATCGTACAAAGAAATACATAAAAAAATGCACAGATTACATTGCAAAGTAAAGGCTTAACTGTTGACGAACCTGCTACAAAACTGGGAGGCACCTCGTCTGTATATCGAAGCAAAAAGGGGTCACATTGTGGAAGAGGCAATAGATATTGCTAGAAATCAGAAAGACAGCTTCGTCGTAAAAAAACGGGTGGTTGGGGAGATGGCCAGTGATGCAGAACTTCAAAAATATATGTTGGAATGTCTTAATCGATTCAGAGTTGAACTCCAGACAAGATCTAAGTCTCTTCAAGACCTAGCTTCATTGTTCGAGATCGTACAAAGAAATACATAAAAAAAATGCACAGATTACATTGCAAAGTAAAGGCTTAACTGTTGATGAACCTGCTACAAAACTGGAGGCACCTCATGTATATCAAAGCAAGAAGGGGTCACATTGTGGAAGAGGTAATAGATATTGCAAGAAATCAGAAAGACAGCTTCGTCGTAAAAAAACGGGTGGTTGGGGAGATGGCCAGTGATGCAGAACTTCAAAAAGATATGTTGGAATGTCTTAATCGATTCAAACTTGAACTCCAGAAAATATCTAAGCCTCTTCAAGACCTAGCTTCATTGTTCGAGATCGTACAAAGAAATACATAAAAAAAATGCACAGATTACATTGCAAAGTAAAGGCTTAACTGTTGATGAACCTGCTACAAAACTGGAGGCACCTCGTCTGTATATCGAAGCATGAAGGGGTCACATTGTGGAAGAGGCAATAGATATTGCTAGAAATCAGAAAGACAGCTTCGTCGTAAAAAAAAAACGGGTGGTTGGGGAGATGGCCAGTGATGCCGAACTTCAAAAAGATATGTTGGAATGTCTTAATCGATTCAAACTTGAACTCCAGAAAATATCTAAGCCTCTTCAAGACCTAGCTTCATTGTTCGAGATCGTACAAAGAAATACATAAAAAAATGCACAGATTACATTGCAAAGTAAAGGCTTAACTGTTGACGAACCTGCTACAAAACTGGGAGGCACCTCGTCTGTATATCGAAGCAAAAAGGGGTCACATTGTGGAAGAGGCAATAGATATTGCTAGAAATCAGAAAGACAACTTCGTCGTAAAAAACACAGGTGGTTGGGGAGATGGTCAGTGATGCAGAACTTCAAAAATATATGTTGGAATGTCTTAATCGATTCAGAGTTGAACTCCAGACAAGATCTAAGTCTCTTCAAGACCTAGCTTCACTGTTCGAGATCGTACAAACAAATACTTTGCTTTTTCGGATACTGAAGGACTGCAATGAGTTACATCCAAATTTACTGATTTTCATGAGGTCTCAGGAACAGACGTACTTTTGATACCAAGACTGCGAAGACACTTAAAAGCCGCTAATGTTACAGTTTCTGATTGGGTATCTCTAGTTTATTGTGGAAAGGGATTTTACAGAATCTCTTCCAAATACACTAAGTGACATATAAATCCGAACACCCAGTTTAAATGGTTTTATTTTAATAAAATTTTGTATCAGTACTCAACGAAGCATAATAAGCAAATGATAAAAATTTCAAAATGATTGCACTGCTTTAAAACCCTTTAGCTTTAATAATGTGTGGATGCACCCTGATCTGCTACGCATTCTCCAACACGCCTGGCATGCTTCTGATCAGGTGGTCAATGTCCTCCTGTGGTATCTCATTCCAGTCAACCACCAACTCCTCTCGAAGTGCTTCTAGAGTCTGAGGAGGACGTTGCAAATTGAGCAATCTCCTACCGATCATATCCCATACGTGCTCAATTGAGGATAAGTCGGGAGATCTTGGTGGCCATGGTAACAATGTGACATCATTATGTTGAAAGAAGTCTATTGTGACTCTTGCAACATGTGGTCGGGCATTATCTTGTTGGAAAGTTGGATCTGCCACGGTGTCAAGATAGGATAAAAGATGGGGATCTAGAACTTCGTGGATATAACGCTGCGCGTTCGTGTTACCTCTGATGAAGATTAAAGGTGACCTGGAACCATAAGCTATAGCACCCCAAACCATAACTCCAACAGTGTGATGAACATGTCTTTCAACAAAAAACTGTGGATTCCTCCTTTCACCACGTCGCCTTCTAACCCTGGCACGTGCCATCGTGCATGCCTAAACAAAATCGAGACTCGTCACTAAAGACAATACTGTTCCATTCCTGATCCCAGAGTGACCGTTGTCTGCACCACTCAAGGCGATTACGTCGGTGTTCTCGAGTTAAAGGGAGGACCCAGTGTGGCCGGTATGAAAACAAGCCAAAACTTCTCATTCGTCGGTAAACACTTCGCATGCCAATAGGTCTTCCGTGTTCTGCAAACCATTAATTTGCAATGTACCTGGTAGTGGAGAAACGGTCCCTTAAGGCCAATAATCTTAGGCGGCGATCTTCACGGTCTGTTGTTCTACGGCGGCGTCCAGTGCCCCTTGCTCTTTGCGTACGGCCTTGTCGAAGCCATGCCTGACGACACCTAACCACAGTGCCTACACTTCTTTGCACTCTAACTGCAATTGCCCGAAAAGAAAGTCCAGCTTCCCGAAGTCCCACTATACGGCCCCTATCAAACTCACTAAGTTGACGAAATCGTACAGGTCTCCGTACTCTAGGCATCGTAACCGATCGTAAAGGATGTCAAGAACCAAAATCCGCCAACGTTGATTCTTTACTGCGGCTGAAATATTCATTTTTGGAGCGTTAGTGAATTAAAAAAAGCAGTATAAAAACCGGAATGTCCAACTGATAAGGCTGAAAATTTTTTCACTTGTTATTTACAGTAAGATAAAAACATTCACCAACTTTTATTAAAATAAAACCATTTAAACTGGGTGTTCGGATTTATATGTCACTTAGTATATTATGATTGCACTAAAATTGTACATAACGGTTTGCGTGTCCGTGCAATCATGTTAACTAAAATTAATAAAAAACTATTTGCGGGCAACAATGACCCAATCGCGGCTTATCAATCTTGATATATAGTATAAGCCATCGAACACAAGGCAATACAAAATATAAATTTTGAATAATTTATTACCGAGTTTGCGGCTGTCAAAGCTAGAAAGAATAGATTTTAATTGCAAGATAAAAATATTTTTGCTGTGTTAGTGTTTATTGCGCTTTGTTATTTATCCAATATTTTAAATATAAATATTAAATGATACATGACGTTTATAAATTATATAAAATGTACTGCTTTTGATTTTCGATGGAGTGACACCACCAACTTTCACACCGGGGGCCACCCAAGGTAGCTACGCCACTGCTCTCGGGTGTCTAACGCTCGGTAACAGAGATTAGAAAAGATAGCGTGTACGCACCAAATGGTGTAAACACCAGAACCGCATTATTAGCTGCAGTTTTAAGCAATATAGACAGCTGTGTATCAAAATCTATAAAAATGACGAGCGAAGTACAAGGAAAACTGAAAAAACAGAAGAAAAGAAGGCCCCCACCTCACGAGCCTACAATCAAAGATGATTTGACAGTTATAGCGCACATCACTGTAGTGACTTTTGTGATTCTTATTGTTTACCTGTGCCTCACTAGACCTTTCGAGTTTTTTACTTGGCATCCTTTACTTATGTCTCTTGGGGTAAGTTTAGTTATGATTTTGAAATACGTGGCTACCTGTGATTAGCTATATCAACAGCTGCATGGCTATTATTTGACATTTACGAATTCTTGTATGCTTTCCACAGTTTATTCAGTGTATTTTTTTATTCTTATGAGTTATTTTATATAAGAATTTATTAGCAACTTTCACAATTTAATGCAAAAGATTCTGTAAAAATTCTCATAATTGTCGTACATGCAAGGTTAAACAAAATTTCAAAAAGAATTATAAATTCAGTATCTAAGAAAACATATGGCGTTTTTGTTGTGAATAAAATCAAGGTTAACCTCACATTGTGGATTGCATCTGCAATTATATAAGGCATGAAAAGGAGTGGGTTGCATTGAGATGATAGTAGCAATAATTTAGTTACGAGGTACCTGCACTATTTTCAATTGTAGAAATGTTGAAATATAGCTAGGCTAGGTAGTTTCTTCTTATACTAAGTGACATATAAATCCGAACACCCAGTTTAAATGGTTTTGTTTTGGTGAATGTATTTATCTTACTGTAAATAACAAGTGAAAAAATTTTCAGCCTTATCAGTTGGACATTCCGGGTTTTATACTGTTTTTTTTTAATTCACTAACGCTTTAAAAATGAATATTTCAGCCGCAGTAAAGAATCAACGTTGGCGGATTTTGGTTCTTGACATCCTTTACGATCGGTTACGATGTCTAGAGTACGGAGACCTGTACGATTTCGTCAACTTGGTGAGTTTGATAGGGGCCGTATAGTGGGACTTCGGGAAGCTGGACTTTCTTTTCGGGCAATTGCAGTTAGAGTGCAAAGAAGTGTAGACACTGTGGTTAGGTGTTGTCAGGCATGGCTTCGAGAAGGCCGTACGCAAAGAGCAAGGGGCACTGGACGCCGCCGTAGAACAACAGACCGTGAAGATCGCCGCCTAAGATTATTGGCCTTAAGGGACCGTTTCTCCACTACCAGGTCCATTGCAAATAAATGGTTTGCAGAACACGGAAGACCTATTGGCATGCGAAGTGTTTACCGACGAATGAGAAGTTTTCGCTTGTTTTCATACCGGCCACACTGGGCCCTCCCTTTAACTCGAGAACACCGACGTAATCGCCTTGAGTGGTGCAGACAACGGTCACTCTGGGATCAGGAATGGAACAGTATTGTCTTTAGTGACGAGTCTCGATTTTGTTTAGGCATGCACGATGGTCGTGCCAGGGTTAGAAGGCGACGTGGTGAAAGGAGGAATCCACAGTTTTTTGTTGAAGGACATGTTCATCACACTGTTGGAGTTATAGTTTGGGGTGCTATAGCTTATGGTTCCAGGTCACCTTTAATCTTCATCAGAGGGAACATGAACGCGCAGCGTTATATCCACGAAGTTCTAGAACCCCATCTTTTACCCTGGCAGATCCAACTTTCCAACAAGATAATGCCCGACCACATGTTGCAAGAGTCACAATAGACTTCTTTCAACATAATGATGTCACATTGTTACCATGGCCACCAAGATCTCCCGACTTATCCCCAATTTAGCACGTGTGGGATATGATGGGTAGGAGATTGCTCAATTTGCAACGTCCTCCTCAGACTCTAGAAGCACTTCGAGAGGAGCTGGTAGTTGCCTGGAATGAGATACCACAGGAGGACATTGACCACCTGATCAGAAGCATGCCTAGGCGCGTTGGAGAATGCGTAGCGCATCAGGGTGCATCCACACATTATTAAAGGTCAAAGGGCTTTAAAGCAGTGCAATCATTTTGAAATTTTTATCATTTACTTATTATGCTTCATTAAGTACTTATACAAAATTTTACTACAGGGTGGCGCAGAGGAAACGCACGATTTTCACCTAGGCATAACATTTTTTATTTTCAAGATAACTTTGTTTCAGTTACAGCTAAATAAAGTAATGATAGTGCACTTTTAAACTAATGATGGTAAATAACGTCACTCAAGTGTCGCCCTGCTTCGCGCTCGCACATCTCCAACCGCTCTTGAAAGTTGTGCATTACACGTAAAATCATTTCTTGTGGTATTCTTGCAATTTCTTGACGAATAGCAATTTTCAGTTCCTGTAACGTACGAGGCTTGTGAGGGTACACTTTAAAGAAGTCGCATGCGGACAAATCTGGGGAGCGTGGGGGCCAAGGGACATCGCCGAAACGGGAAATCACATGTTCAGGAAACATCTGTCGAATCCATTCCATTGATGCTCTCGCTGTGTGAGCTGTGGCACCGTCTTGTTGGAACCACAGCTCTCCCATGTTTACTTGTTGCCGTTGAAGTTCGGGTAACAGAAAATTTTGTAACATGTGAACATAACGTGCTGAAGTAACTGTTACTGCTCTTTCTTCCTCTTCAACAAAGTAAGGACCAACGATACCTAATTTACTGATTCCGCACCACACAGTTAATTTTTGACTATGCAAGGGTCGTTGGTGTAGCTCTCGTGGATTTTCGGCCGCCCAATACCTACAGTTCTGCTTGTTTACATATCCTGTTAAATGGAAGTGTGCTTCGTCACTCATCATTATGACGACGTCAGGATCGTCAGCAAAAATGGCCCGCATTCTCGCACAAAATTCTCTACGCTGTGCAAAATCGCTTTCCGTTAGCTCTTGCACGATCATTATCTTGTACGGATGATATTGTAAATCGTCATGCAGAATGCGTTGTAACGACCGACGGGACATACGCAGAGTTGGAGCTTGGCGCCTAGTGGACCGTTGGGGACTATCAAGGACCGCTCTTCTCACTGTTTCGATATTGCCTGGAGTCCGCACGGTACGGGGAAGGCCAGGTGGCTTCCTCTTCATTACGGATCCAGTACTTCGAAATGCTTCAACCCATCGGAGTATTGTGTTTCGATCTGGAATTGGCCCGTGGCGTTCAACATTGAACTGTCGACGGAATAAACGTTGCACGATCACTACAGAATCATCGTTTCGAAAAAATTGCTCGACGGCAAACACACGATGCTCCGTCATCCACGGTGCCATGGCTGAAACTGCATCGCATGTGTTCTCTGCTGGCGGTGCGGCGAGGTCATATCCCTATTCTGTGCGAAATACCATTCGGTCAGAAAACATGCGTTTCCTCTGCGCCACCCTGTATAATAAAACCATTTAAACTGGGTGTTCGGATTTATATGTCACTTAGTATATTTGGTACAAACAGGAAAAGTTCAAAAAAATAAAGCACATAGGGTGTTAATTAAGTATATACCATAAGCTTAACAGACGACAAATAATTCATATAAACACAGATCCGCAAATTCTTCATGTTAAAAATTAAAAAAAAATTTTTTTTTCGTTAATATCCTTTACCTAATTTTGTTGTAATTTGGCAGTGGTATTTGTAGCATTAAGGAGATAATTTAGCCTTGACTTGATTAAATTGTACGGCTCTGACTTTTGTGCAATTTTTGTTATATTCTTTGGATTGAGCAATAGAAATACAACGTTTTTGTTTCTTCAATTTCTTTGTGTCTTGCTTGTTTTCGATAAAAAAAAAGTTTAATTGCATATTCCTGGACCAAACAAGGAATACGGGAAAAAGTTTCTCTTGAAAATTATTTTTTTTACAATTTTTACTTATGTAACCACATCAAATACTGAAAATCATTATTATCCAGTTCACTGGTCGCCAATCCGTCATCAATATGTTAGTTATATATTCTTCACGTCATCTATACAATACATAAAAAATAGTTTGGTTGCAATAAAATAGAATCACGTAACAGAATAGTTGTATAGTTGACAAAGACTGAATCTTGCACTGACGCAAATGTCCTATAGCGGCTGCAAGAGGCTTACACTTTTGTTTTGTAACTGTTACCTGCAGACCTTATACAACTTCTTAAATGACTGAAGTGTCCATTCCGCTTGTATAGCTGTTCTAAGAGGGTTCTTACAGGATACAATGCTGTTTAAGGAATACTGTATAATTAGTCTTGCAACTCTAATAGGAGTGATAATTGTTAGTTGGGACTAACCTACAATGCATACTTTTAGCTACTTTTCATGTTTTCTGACTCTGTCCCTTCTTTTTTAGTGGATGCTCTTGATGTACGAAGGCATAATAGTGATATCCAAGGAAAACCCGATAGGCCACTACTTCGGCCTCACCCACGATCTCAAAAACTTCTGGCATTGGGTCCTGATCACCGCTGCCAGCTTTCTGGTCCTCGCAGGTTTCGCCGTGGTCTACACTAACAAGAACCAAGAAGGGAAGGATCATTTCACATCCTGGCACGGACTTTTTGGCCTTCTTTCAATCATAATTTGCTTCCCGTCTGTCGTAAACGGAACTGCTACCTTATGGGAGCCTAAATTGAAGAACGTTCTGGATCCGTACGTGACGAAACTGATCCATCAATGTTTTGGAACTGTTGCTATAATATTTGGCGGCTTGTGCTCCATACTGAGTGTTTATTCTAATTGGTTTGCAGTAGCTTCGCATAGAAACAAGTATATGTATCTTGTAGGAATTGTGTGCACCGTGTATAGTTTTATCTGGATCTTGCAGAGACCGTTGCTTAAGTGTTATAGGAAGATATTTAAAAAGCAGTGAATCTATATTTATGATTGTTTTTATTCTAATAGACATTTACACGATACAGTATTAAAAAGTTTTATGTATACTATTTCAAGAAATACCTCAACATGTACTAAAATAATGCTTGTCAATTTACAGTCCGCAAGTAAGAGTTTTTAAAAGGGTCATCGAAAAAACTATATAGTTGGTTGAGACAGGGAAAAATATAAGCTAGGTTCAGGCCAAAAAGAACAAAAATTAGGGATTATTTGAACAAGCTTATGGCAATATCTCGAAAACTAGAAAACTTTCACTGAGGTCATGTTGATGTGCAGCCCGTGTCACGCTGGCGTATTATTTCTGGGTCACCCTGTATTGAAAATCACTTCCACCAAATAGCATATCATGAACTCATCTCTTCAGATGCCGGACAAGTTAATCTCCGATTTCGAATATTACCTAAAAATATTTGAAAGATTACAGTCCTCTCCTTCACCGTGTACCGTTATCGTGAGAAAAACCCTTTCGAACAGATTTAATGCGTAAAAAATTGGCCGGCGCATCGGCGACTAACAAGGCCTAAGTAGAAACAAATGACTTCTGTCGACCGAAAGGAAGGTGTGACTTGTGTGGCGATTCGCTCTTTTCCGAAAAAAAAAGAACATCGACGTACGCGGCGACATATCATTTTTTGTACCGGAATCTAGAGGGCTAATGACAGCGATGGAAAGGTGTGAAACAATAATCGGACGCTCGTTATGACATTGTTTGAGGTGGTTGCCGCCAACGTTACCCTTGTTAAGATAATGCGATGGTAGGTAGGTAAACCAGGGTTTCACGATAAGGTCACGTAATATTAATTAGTATTGTAATAGCGAAAATTTTCGAAAATGAGAATTGTGTCGGTCTATCAGCTAGTTTTATAACCGAGAAGTGCCCCTCGGGTTTCAATGAACCATTTGTATAATGCTACTATCATGCCAAGGACGGAAGAACTTTGTAGTTTGTCCAGAGGCGGCGAAGAAAAAGCCAAAAACAAAAAAAATAAAAATCGTTCAAACTTCGTTTTTTGACGTTTCAAAAGATCCTGATTATTTTTGGTAAAAATATGTATTTGTAGGGGTTAAAAATTTGATAGGGGTTGCAGTGTCAGTACTGAATCTTAACCTCACTCTTTAGTAAACTTAAATTCAAGGTTTCACAACAATACGTGCAGTTTTCTCACTACAGTGAATGTTTAAGTATCACCAAGTCATTAGAAAAATGGAACTCAACCGAGAACATTTTCGCGCCATAATTTATTACAACTTTCAGAGACAAGTATCGCAACAAGAACGCCTTGCTGAGTTACTGTCTGTTTTCGGCAACAAAGCGCCACATCAGTCGACAATTTCCAGTTGGTATGGAGAATTCAAACGTGGAGAATACTTCGAAAAACAATAAAGTCATTTTAAACCACCTACCGTGTTGTTTTATTTCCCTATGTAAAACTTAAAAGACATCCCTCGTATATTTCAACTTTTTGACATAGGTATATTTAGAAGCCTCCGACCTCAGTAATTCTACTCAAGTATCAGGCATATATTGAAAAGTTGGCAAATGAGAATAACTCAAAAAAATTGTGGAAGTCTCTCAAACAACCTGATATAATTTAATGATTATTTTATGTCTGTTTACAGCTACAAACCTGCTGATTCACTATAGTATAACTATCTAAAACTGTAATGACTCATCGATGTTCACGTGAACATCACTTAACTACCAGTAGTCGGCTGTTCATAGGCGGGGTATGAATGTTTAACATGGGTGAACTAGATTTGTCACATGCTTAATAAAGAGTGGTTTGAAACATATTGTAAGTCAAAAATTTCGGAATTACCTTTATTCATCGTCGCTTCCACTTACATCTGACAGTAATAAACTGTCGCTATCGCTTTCCTCGTTGAAATTGACTATAACTGGCTCTATGATGGTGTCGATGTGGTGGTCAAGCTGCCACATTTTTGTTTCTTCCTTCACAACATGACGGATAGCATTCTGCCAAGCTTCGGGCGTTACTAGCTGTATGGAAGTCTCAAGTAAAACCTTAACGTCTGGTAATTTGAAGGTTGTGTTATGGCGCGCAATATAACCCTTCACTTGAGCCCAGATGAGCTCTATTCGGTTCAGTTCACAGTGGTAGGGCGGTAACCGCAGCACAGTGACACCACATTGACGGGCCATCTCATCAGTCACGTAACTAATGTTCGCAGGTTTGTGCTCTTTAATTTTTTCATACAATTCCGCTTTCACACATGAATCGTCAAACGGCATTCCTTTTTCGCGCATGTCACTTTTTCGAGATCCCATAGTCGGTACACGTTCGGCTCGACGACTATGGTAGGAAGCATTATCCATGACGATCACAGAGTTGGGCTCAACTCGCTGAAGCACCCCTTGAAACCAGCTCTCGAAGCAGCTGGCATTCATTTCGTCATGGTAATCACCTACTTTCTTAGAGACGAAAATCAAGTCACACTCTTCTAAAAAGCCACTATCGCTACCAATATGAGTTACGATCAATCTTTGACCTTTCCTTGATCGTCCACGAAGACCTGTTGACAAACCTTCTATGCTTGCTTGTCGGTTAATCACTACGTTTTTGTCTATCCAGGTTTTTTAACTGTGTGACCTGCATTTACCCATGTCTCGTCCAAGATTTTTCTGCTTTGTCGCCTATATTCAATCATTTCGCGTAGGTATTTTCGACGCCAGGCGACTATTTCAGGTCTCTCTATCAATACTGACTTCCGATTACGCGTTTCTTAACGAAAATTAATTTCGTGCAGTGATTTCCTCATTACCTCGACGCTCATTTGGGGTATAATTTCATTTTCCTTGATCGCTGCATGTACAGCCTTGAGGGTTGGTGTCTCATTCCTAAAGAAGAGTGAATGTACGGCTCGCCTTAACGCCATTTTGCTATCGTCATCCAATTTAACGGCCTTTCGTCCCTTCAAATTAAACTTTGGATCAGTAGTAGCTCCAATTTTCTTCTTTTCATGCACCATAGTTCTGTTCAGATAATTGAACACGTTGAGCGCGATTTCTTTCGCGTCCCTCTTCAGTGCTTTACGAAGCCGTCTACTTGTCCCCTGGCTTTCAGTACTTCCACTTGTACCATTTGTACTCTCCATGGTTAAGTATAACCAAAACAGTAACCACAGAAACCACAACAATGACAATCACACAACAATTCTTATAAAAACACACAATATGCGATCGCTCAACGAAACACGTTCCAATGCGTTGCCGACGCCTATGAGTCTGCCGGTCGAGGCGCGTCTTTGGCTCTTACCGGCGGAGAACAATCAGTCATTATTTCCGTCTCTGTCTGTGCTGTTGACCACCGCAAAGCCACAGAAACGACATATGTCGTACGCTATAAGGCTGTACTGGAAGGAAGCCGGGATCGAGCTCTGATCACGTGTTGATCACGCGTATGAGTCATTACAGTTTTAAATAGTTTTAGTATAGTTTGCGAGTACTATTCCAAAAATAAATTAATTACTGAATATATTTTTTCTTTGAATGAGATTAGGTCAAGTGACGTATTACGGGAAATAAGGAACCTAAAGTTTGGATGGTATATCACTGTCAGTGATACAGCTTTGCTTGCCAGTTATTCTCCGTCACATCGTCCACATCTTTAACGACTGTTTGGAAAAAGGCTACTTTCCAAACACATGGAAACAATCTCCAATTATTCTAATTCCTGAAAAAATTAAACCCACTTGTCAAGGGGAACTGGTGGCTTCCAGCAAAATCTGCAGCTACAAAAGAAAGCTGAAAAGAAAGAACCAGATATTGAACAGACTTCTCCAGGACATTCATATGATATACAAAAAAAGAACCGCTGAAGGTTAAGATCCCATAAGAAAATGGACGGGTAGCACCCAAACCGAAACAACTACACGTAAGGTACAAAATACAAGATGCTACTCCATAATCTGGGGTCTAAATCCTAGAATCTGGAAGCTAACGAAACGACCCACGCACAACCAGAAGCCTCAGCAGGAAGCAAAAGAAAAATGGCGCTGGACCCGTCAGTACACGCAAGTTTTTAAAAGAAGGTATCTTGATATTGAACCAAATATTCCTGTAGGGCTAGGTCGTGCAGAAATCACAAGGTGGCGCTGGTTGCAAATGGGCTGAACTTTCTCTACGAGGGACCAACGATCTTTTATGTGGAAATTTCTGAAATAATGGTTAATAACAATATAACATTAGTGCCTAAAAGATTTCAACACAATACTGAGTCGCTGAAAAAGAAAGATATAATACGTGTGAAATTATACAATCCATAAACTATGAAATTTATTAAAAGAAAATCATTAAAAAGGGTTTGGCCTAGGAATCGGAACCCTACCACTAAAAATTCAAGTTACTAGTAAGTGATCAAAAAAAAAAAGTTACGTCATTTTGGCGGGTGACACACTGAGTATAGTGATCTTAGACCTATCAGTTTGTTATCAATGTTACCCAAAATTTTAGAAAAAATAGTGAAGTTCCAATTGACCGCTATCCGGTTTTAGAAAAAAATATGTGCCCTACTCAATCTGCAAGACAATATTTTGAGTGCATTATATAAGAAAATGGCATTAGCGTTAATCTCTACAGACTATTCGAAGGCTTTTGGCAGCATCAGTCATAAATTATACTAAGTGACATATAAATCCGAACATCCAGTTTAAATGGTTTTATTTTAATAAAATATTGTATAAGTACTTAATGAAGTATAATAAGTAAATGATAAAAATTTCAAAATGATTGCACTGCTTTAAATCCCTTTGACCTTTAATAATGTGTGGATGCACGCTGATGTGCTACGCATTCTCCAACGCACCTAGGCATGCTTCTGATCAGGTGGTCAATGTCCTCCTGTGGTATCTCATTCCAGGCAACGACCAACTCCTCTCGAAGTGCTTCTAGAGTCTGAGGAGGACGTTGCAAATTGAGCAATCTCATACCCATCATATCCCACACGTGCTCAATTGGGGATAAGTCGGGAGATCTTGGTGGCCATGGTAACAATGTGACATCATTATGTTGAAAGAAGTCTATTGTGACTCTTGCAACATGTGGTCGGGCATTATCTTGTTGGAAAGTTGGATCTGCCAGGGTGTCAAGATAGGGTAAAAGATGGGGTTCTAGAACTTCGTGGATATAACGCTGCGCGTTCATGTTACCTCTGATGAAGATTAACGGTGACCTGGAACCATAAGCTATAGCACCCCAAACCATAACTCCAACAGTGTGGTGAACATGTCTTTCAACAAAAAACTGTGGATTCCTCCTTTCACCACGTCGCCTTCTAACCCTGGCACGACCATCGTGCATGCCTAAACAAAATCGAGACTCGCCACTAAAGACAATACTGTTCCATTCCTGATCCCAGAGTGACCGTTGTCTGCACCACTCAAGGCGATTACGTCGGTGTAAGGGTTAGAAGGCGACGTGGTGAAAGGAGGAATCCACAGTTTTTTGTTGAAAGACATGTTCATCACACTGTTGGAGTTATGGTTTGGGGTGCTATAGCTTATGGTTCCAGGTCACCTTTAATCTTCGTCAGAGGTAACATGAACGCGCAGCGTTATATCCACGAAGTTCTAGAACCCCATCTTTTACCCTATCTTGACACCCTGGCAGATCCAACTTTCCAAAAAGATAATGCCCGACCACATGTTGCAAGAGTCACAATAGACTTCTTTCAACATAATGATGTCACATTGTTACCATGGCCACCAAGATCTCTCGACTTATCCCCAATTGAGCACGTGTGGGATATGATGGATAGGAGATTGCTCAATTTGCAACGTCCTCCTCAGACTCTAGAAGCACTTCGAGAGGAGTTGGTGGTGGCCTGGAATGAGATACCACAGGAGGACATTGACCACCTGATCAGAAGCATGCCTAGGCGCGTTGGAGAATGCGTAGCACATCAGGGTGCATCCACACATTATTAAAGGTCAAAGGGCTTTAAAGCAGTGCAATCATTTTGACATTTTTGTCATTTACTTATTATGCTTCATTAAGTACTTATACAAAATTTTATTAAAATAAAACCATTTAAACTGGGTGTTCGGATTTATATGTCACTTAGTATACTTGCTGAATTAAATTACGTAGGATTTGACAATTTATACCTTTCATTTTTCGGCAGTTACCTTCACCAAATAACTCAGTGTGTTTTTGTCAACCAAGAAATGTCTCCAGTGAAAGCAATTCTTGCAGGCGTGCCTCAGGGCTCTGTATTGGGGCCGCTGCTGTTTCGAGCTAAGCAACAGTATTGATAAGTCTCATGTCCAGTCCTTTGCAATTGAAACGCAATTGTTACATTATTTTAACCCAGATAATGTCAATAATACTACCCAAATTTTACAAAACGATGTTAGCAAATTAATTAAATACTCTTCA